CACCATCATGGATAGCGATAAGATTCTAGTATTGGACCAAGGTAAAGTTGCTGAGTTTGACACGCCCCAAACCTTATTGAAAGACGAAAGCAGTATTTTCTACTCACTTTCCAAGCAAGGTGGGTATATCTGATTGCAATAAAATTTGTTTACTACTTAGATAGACATATAAGTGAGACGCTATTTTTTTAAGATGACTCATTATTGTTTACTCTCCTCTTAAATATGGTTGCCGGCTGTAGCACAAATCGGCGATACGCTCGCCCAAATGCGGAAATAGCACCGCGTAAACGTGTCTCTGTACCTTTGAGTCACAAATTGTTTAAAGACATTTTTGACATTCTGTAGAAGAGGCGGTACAAATAATAATTACACAAAGATGTTATTATAAGCTTCCACATTGAGGTGTGGCATCAAAATCAATTAATTGGCAATCGAACTCAATTTGAGACGGCTGAGAAAAGGAAGGGGTATATTCCTGCTACAATTTTACCCAGGGATGGAGGAGTGTACGGCAAATCGTAAAGCTACACACCGCCAAAGAACTCTCTAAGAATGCGTTACTTCCTACATTGTGGAAAGGCTTTGTAGAATCGAGCCAGAACAAAGCTAGAACGAGCGTCCCTCTAAATTTTTAGCTGAGACCTAACCCTTACAATAAGACCTTTTCCATCATCAACCCCGTAAGTTGCTTGTTTATTTGTTTACTTTTTTGTTTGTTGACAGAGATTAGTCATAAAAATATACACTCTTTGAAGTTGAAGTTGTTGTTAATCTTCGCTAAGTTGTAGATGAAATTGACACAAAGGGCGGTTTATTTATCTATTTATCAAATGTTTTTCCAATCCGATAAATTTTCACCATTTTCCTTTCAAAAAAAAAGTCAATCTCAACTTTTCCAATTTCGGACCAAAACAACAGAACCAATATGAATGAACAATCAGCTACTCGAACAAAAGAGCTGATATTGGGGTACTCCCCGTCAGATCTATCTTTATTCAGCCCGTCGTCGTTTCTACATAGTTTTGACTTTATTAATTTCAACAACAATCCCACAGTTCTGTCACAATCCAAGAAGTACAAACTCACAATTCCCCATCCATTGTACTCTAAATATGGTAATGCTTTGAATCCAGAGTTTGCTTACGTTGTGGGAGAAATTATTACTTTATTTTTTGGTATTCTCCTAGCATTTAGGTTATTGAAATTGCTTTTAAAACTGAGGAAGCAATCTGTCATAAAGGCACCTAGGCCAGCTCTTCAGAGTTTCAAAATAATGTTGATCTTAGCTCAAGTGTCTTTTTTGGTTCTGCTTTGGTTCTTGACTAAATTACCAGTCCTTTTTGCATTGATTTCAACTACAGCACTAGCACTTGTTGTCGCAAGCATTGAATTTAGAGTCTCACCTGTCCCAGTTGCTGAATCATTATTGTTTTGGATTACGAATTCAGCATATTTATTTGCTGTATTTGTTCAAGACTCAGTTTCGAAACATAAAATTTTTGGCCCTAATGGTCCATCATTCATTTTGGAAGTATTTTTAGTTGTCACCAGTTTGTCCGTTTTCATTTTGGAGGTTGGTTATTACAAGCCCGGATTTGATGACTCTAGCCTACCATTTATGGAAAAAGTGAATTTGTTTTCGTACATTACTTTTTACTACCTACAACCACTAATAGACCAGATATATAAGACCAATGATGTCAAGTTCGAAGACTTGCCAAAAGTACTAGGCAAACTTTCATGTGATGAAACTAAACCAAGAGTTATTAAGCACTGGGATGTACAAAGGGCCAAAGCCAAAAATAAACCTAGCTGGGTAGCAAAGTTGTGGGCTCTTATTAGAAGAAAGAAGGTCGAGAACAAGCCAAATTTGTTTGCTGCTATATTTGGCGCTTTTGCCTCCGAATTTTACAAGAATTTTGTTCTAAACGTTATCCAAACTGCTTTGGTTTTTGCCCAACCGTTTGTTTTGAGAAAGTTTATCCAGTTCTTCACTGCTTACTTTTATAACCACGAAAAACCTCCAATAATCATCGGGTACTTCTGGGCAGCCACGATGTTTGCAATTTCCTGCACAAATTTTATCACATTCAACCAAGCATTTACCTTGCAATTCAATATCGGGGCTGGTATCCAGTCGTCCTTGACAACAATCATTTACGAAAAAGCGTTACGCTTATCGCCACAATCACGCAAAAACAAGCCTACTGGTGACATTATCAACCACATTACCATGGACATTGACATTATTTTCTGGTTTTGCTGGAGTCTTGGGGAATTTATCTCAGCACCGTTAAAATTGGTTGTTTGTTTATTTTCCTTGTACCAATTGTTTCGTAATGCTACTTGGGCCGGTGTTTTAACTGCCACAATTGTCACACCATTGGCCACTTATGTCAATGCTTCCATGTCAAAGAATTACATTCAATTAATGAAGGATAAGGATGACAGAACAAGTTTGATTACGGAAATTTTGAACTCGGCAAAGAGTATAAAGTTCTATTCGTGGGAGAAACCAATGTTGGAACGTTTGAGTCATGTGCGTAATGATAGGGAGTTGACCAACATCAAGAAGATTGGTGTTGTCAGTGCCTTGGCCCAGTTCTTATGGTCCTGTATTCCATTCTTTGTCAGTTGTGCAACCTACGCAGCTTATTCTTATTTCTACAAAGTTCCTTTAACTCCAGATATTGTTTTCCCAGCATTGGCGTTGTTTGACTTGTTATCTGAGCCTATGTTGTTGATTCCCAACTTTATTGTTGATATAATTGAAGTTTCGACTTCGTTGTCACGTATCGGTGAGTTACTTTGTCTAGATGAATTGGCCGACGATCAGAATGGCCATGTGAAGAGAGATTTAAATGGAAAAGACAATGCTGAAGATTCTGTTATTGTGAAAAATGCAACCTTCATTTGGAATGCAAATACAGACGATTCACTGGAGTACAGAGATGAAGAGAGTGAAATTCAAGAAACTCCAACTACAAACATTGCTTTAAAAGATATCAGCTTTGTTGCTAAAAAGAGCAAACTAACATGTATTGTTGGAAAAGTTGGTAGTGGGAAGTCATCATTAATCAAGGCTATCTTGGGTGATATTCCAATCCAGATTCCAGCATTTTCCGATGAAAGTTCAGCTCCTTCCCCAAGCGTGGAGACATTTGGATCGATCGCATATTGTCCGCAAAACCCATGGATCTTGAATGGTACAGTTAAGGAAAACATTTTGTTTGGTCATAAATACGATTCCGAGTTTTACAGAAAGACGATCATTGCTTGTGAGTTGGTATCAGACTTTAAGAATTTGCCTGATGGAGACCAAACTGTCGTTGGAGAAAAAGGGATATCATTAAGTGGTGGCCAAAAGGCGCGTATTTCCTTGGCAAGAGCTGTATATGCAAGAGCTGACATATATCTTCTTGATGACGTGTTATCTGCTGTTGATGCTCATGTGGGCAAAAACTTGATTAAGCAAGTTTTATCTGATACTGGTATTATTGGTGACAGAACTAAAGTTTTGGCCACAAATTCCGTTCCTGTTTTGCATGAAGCCAATGACATTTATCTTTTGGCAGGTGGTGCAGTGATTGAGCATGGTAATTACAGCACTGTTATGAAAAGCAAAGGAGCTTTGGCATCTTTGATTAAAGAGTATGGAAGGAAAAAAGAAGATAAAGATGAGGGTACGTCTGATGAGCCAGTGCCAGAGCACACTTCGCTGGAAGAATTGGTAAATGCTACACCAGTAGATCCAAAACAGGCACTCCAAACCGAAGACTTGGTGGATGAGATCGTTGACTATGTCGGAGAAGAAAATAGGGGTGTTGTCCAACAATCAGTATTGCGTCGTGCTTCATTGGTATCATACAATCACTCTTACGACAAAGATGAAGAGGAACAAGACGGAGTTGTTAGGAAAACGGGACACACCGAGGAAGAAACACGGAAGGGTACTGTTCCATGGGATATTTTCAAGCAATACATTGTCGCCTGTGACTACAAGTATTTTTCCATCTACGTAATAGGTACTTTGTTAACCTTGCTAATCACCGTTGGTGAGAAGTATTTATTGAGTTACTGGTCAGGACTAAACAAGGAAGAGAATAAGACGGTTAATCCTACTTTCTTCTTGGGTCTTTATGCAGCATTTGGTGTCCTTTCCGGTTTATTGACATACTTGACTGCCCTTGTTATTTGGGGATATTGTATTGTAAAAGGAGCTGCTTATTTCCACAACAAGATGGCAAACTCGGTCTTGCATTCGCCGATGTCTTTCTTTGACACAACTCCCGTTGGTCGTATTTTGAACAGGTTTACTGAGGATATTGGTAAGATCGACATGCATTTTCCATGGATGTTAATAGGTTTCATCACTACGGTACTCAACGGGTTAGTTACATTTGGAGTCATATTTTATTCGCTTCCTGCAATGTTTTTTGTTATTGCTGGTTTATTGTTTGTTTACAATTACTTCAGAGTTAGGTTTATTCCAACAGCAAGAGAGTTAAAGCGAATCGAGTCTGTCGCCAAGTCTCCAGTTTTGGCCACTATACAAGAATCAATCAATGGTGTTGAAACCATCAAGGCATTTCTTCAACGTGACAGATTTGTTCACAAGAGCAAAAAGTTTGTCGACGACAAAGCATTAATTGGAGTTGTTATCCAATACTGTAACAGATGGTTATCCATGAGGTTGCAATTCATTTCGTCTAGTATTATGTTTTGCACAGCATTATTGGCAGTGGTCAGTTTAGGTGGTAAGCATCCCATCTTGCCAAGTGTTTTGGGGTTTGTAATGACGTATTCATTGACTATTACTTATATTTTGAATTCGGTGGTTAGATACTGGGCTGATATGCAATCTGGTGGGGTGGCTATTGAAAGAATTATTGAGTATTGTGATTTACCCTCTGAAGCACCAATGATTATTGAAGAAAAGAGACCAGAAAAGACATGGCCAGCTCATGGTGTTGTTAATTTCAAAAAGTACAGCACTGCTTATAGAGCGCATTTAGACCCCGTGTTGCGTGAAATAGAGTTGACTATTGCATCAAAAGAAAAAGTGGGTATTGTTGGAAGAACAGGTGCTGGAAAATCATCGTTGACTTTGGCCTTGTTCAGA